CTTGACTTTCATTGCCTGAAATGCTCTCATGTGCTTTTCAGCCAGACCAGGAAGACTGAAGAGCTGAATCTGATGTCAGAGTATTATTGAAGTGATGGTCATTCTGTTAGTCTGCTGTGTGAACTACTTCCCATGTTGGAACATTCTCTTTTTTAATTCTATTATTATTACCAGGCACTTGATCATATATATATATATATACTTTAACACTTAATATGACCACTTTAACAACCAAGATGGGATTTTTACCATCAGGCTTAATGGGATTTGGAGTCCCATGACAAGTTTTTAAACTGTACCCTTAGAATTAAGTCCACAGGAATATATGCAGAATTATAGAGCTTTACAGTTACAAACTTCCTCTTCCCTCCTTATTCCCACTCTTATTTTTTACTGAGATCTATTTTCAATTGACTTTATATACATATATATACATATACATATATGGTTAACTGTTAAGTAAAAAATTCAAAAAAGTATGAAGGAAAAATAACAAAAACTGTTCTTCGACAGTCAAGATAAGGGGAGCTCAAGTCATCCCTTCTTGAAGTGAATGTTGATTTAACTTCTACAGATTTTGTTTTAGGTGCTCTATTAATTCTCACAGTTGAGAGAGAACATATGGTATTTGTCCTTTGGGGACTGGCTTATTTCACTAAGTATGATGTTTTCAAGATTCATCCATTTAGTTGCAAATGAACTAATTTCATTTTTTCTTTACTGCTGTGTAGTATTCCATAGTGTATGTATCCTATGATTTCTTTATCCAGTCTTTGGTTGATGGGTATTTATTTTGATTGCATGCCTTAGCATTGTGAATCAAGCTGCAATAAACATGGAGGTACAGATAACTCTTTTGTTTACTGATTTCATTTCCCTTGGGTAAATTCCTGGGAGTGGGATGACTGGGTCAAATGGTGGGTCTATATTCAGATTTTTGAGGTATCTCCAAACTGTCTTCCAGAGCAGCTTTACCAGTTTACATTCCCACCAACATGGGATTAGGGTATCTTATGACGATTCTTTTTATTTCTTGGTTTCTTTGTTACATTTCCTTTTTCATCTCTAATTTTGTTGATTTGGGTCTACTCTGTCTTTTTTTTTGGTTAGCTGGGCCAATAGTTTGTTTATTTTTCAAAAATAGCTCTTCAGTTTGCTGATATTTTGTATTGTTTTTTGAATTCAATTTTGTTGAATTTTTTTTTCTCTAATTTTAGTTTTTTCTTTTTTCTACTAGTTTAGGGTTTGGTTTACTGTTGGTTCATCCCCAGCATCCTGGCTCTAGTCCTGGTTGGGGCACCGGATTCTGTCCCGGTTGCTCCTCTTCCAGTTCAGCTCTCTGCTGTGGCCCAGGAGTGCAGTGGGGGATGGCCCAGGTCCTTGGGCCTGCACCTGCATGGGAGACCAGGAGGAGGCACCTGGCTCCTGACTTTGGATTGGTGCAGTGCTCTGGTCGCAATGCACCTGCCGTAGCAGCCACTTGGAGGGTGAACCAAGGGAAAAGGAAGACCTTTCTCTCTGTCTCTCTCTCTCTCTAACTCTGCCTGTCAAAAAAATAAAGTGAATAAAAAATGAATTCCTGTTATTTGCAAAAAAAAAAAATGGATGAAACTGGACAACATTATACTTAATGAAATAAGCCAGTCCCCAAAATACAAATGCCTTATGTTCTCTCTCATCTGTGATAACTAACAGAGCACCTAAAAGGTGATCTATTATAGTGAAATTGACACTTTGAGATGCAGTGACTTTGAACAGCCTTTGTCTTGACTGTTGAGGAACACTTTTATTTCCATACTATTTGTTGAATGTTTTACCTAGTATAAAGTTAATCAGATAGGTATAAAGTTAATTGAAAATAGATCTTAGTAAAAATTAGGAATGGGACTGAGAGGGAGGAGGAAGAGTGGTAGGAGTGTGGGTGGCAGAGCGGGTATGGTGGCATAAATCACTGTGTTCCTGAAGTTGGATTTATGAAATGCATGAAGTTTGTATCCTTTAAATAAAAGATTCTGGGAAGAAAACAGGTTTCCTGGGAGAGCCACAGCTGCTGCTCACAGTCAGGCACTTAGGCATCAGGCATCTGCCAGGATAATGAAGCATCCTGTGAAAAGCACAGTGTAAACCTCCATGACCACCTCACCTGCAGTCCTGTCAGGGCAGGCTACAGTTTACAGCCACCCTCCAGAGAGCCCTCAAGACCAAACTACTGGCATATTCAACAAATATCAACCATTTCTATAAGGAACAGCTGCACTGAATAGTTAGCCCTACTTATTGAAGATGATACAGTGTTGATGATGATAGAAATATCTGACATTTTGAGTGCTTTCATAATCAGAGGCTGGATGTTACCCAAGTACCCTAGGCCAATGACCTTTACACCATTGCTTCTACTTAGAAACCACTGTTTGAGAATTTAGAGCAGCTCCATTAGGTAGGAGGCCACCAGCCAGTGTGGTAACTACCCAGACTTGTTTCAACTCAGTGACCATCTGAATACTTACAAGATTCTTTTCCAACAGGCAGCAAGCAGGGGATGAAGGAAGGTACAAGAAATAACTTTTAAGTTGCCCAGCATACTTGTTGGCAGTTCTGGTTGATGACTTCATAGGAATATGAATTGAAATTATTGAGGATTACTCCTTGGAATTTACCCCAAGGAAGTTAAATTGGCAATTAAAAGAGCTGTCTGCACCTTAATGTTTATTGCAGCTCAATTCACAATAGCTAAGACTTGGAATCAACCTAAATGCCCATCAACAGTAGACTGGATAAAGAAATTATGGGATATGTACTCTATGGAATCCTATACAGCAGTAAAAAAAAAAAAAGAAAGAAATCCGGTCATTTGCAACAAAATGGAGGAATCCTGAAAACATCATGCTGAGTGAAATCAGCCCGTCCCAAAGGGACAAATATCATCTGTTCTCCCTGATCGGTGACAACTAACTGAGCACCAAAAAGGAAACCCGTTGAAGTGAAATGGACACTATGAGAAACAATGACTTGATCAGCCCTTGACCTGACTGTTATGAACAACTTAATACTTATCCCTTTTACTATTTTTTTCTTCTTAATACCTTTGGTTGAACTCTGTAATTAACACTCAATTCTTAGGTGTTTAAATGTAACTGAAAAGTGATCCCTGTTAAATATAGAGTGGGAATAATAGAGGAGGAGATGTACAGTTTGGCACATGCTCAATCGGACTTGCTCCAAATGGTAGAGTTAGAAACATGTTGGGATTCCAATTCAGTCCCATCAAGGTGGCATGTACCAATGTCATCTCACTAGTCAAATGATCAATTTCAGTTCATAATTGATCATAATGATAGGATTAAGAGTCAAAGGGATCACATAAACAAGACTAGTGTCTGCAAATACTAACTGATAGAATTAAAAAGGAGAGAATGATCCAACATGGGAAGCAGGATACACAGCAGATTCACAGAATGGCAGACGTCCTAAACAGCACTTTGGCCTCAGAATCAGCCCTGAAGACATTTGCATCTGGCTAAAAAAGCCCATGAGAGTATTTCAGGCATGGAAAGCCAAGACACTGTGGCAAAAAAAACAAACAAACCAACCTAAATGAAAGATCTCTGTGAGTGAGATCCCAGCGGAAAGAACAGGCCATCAGAGAAGGAGGTACCTATATCTCTGAAGGGAAGAAAACTTCTAGTTTGACTATGACCTTGTCTAAATAAGATTGGAGTCGACGAACTCAAGAGGCTTCCATAGCCTTGGCAGCTCATGACAAGAGACTCGGGTGATTACTGACGCCATAAACAAGAATGTCAGTTGTTAAATCAACAACAGAAATCACTGTGCACTTACCTCCCCATGTAGGATCTCTGTTCTTAATGTGTTGTTCAATGTGAATGCTATAACTAGTACTCAAACAGTATTTTACACTTTGTGTTTCTGTGTGGGTGCAAACTGTTGAAATCTTTACTTAATATATACTAAATTGATCTTCTGTCTATAAAGATAATTGAAAATGAATCTTGCGTGAATGGGATGGGAGAGGGAGTGGGAGATGGGATGGTTGTGGGTGGAGGGAGGTTATAGGGGAAAAGCCACTGTAATCCAAAAGCTGTACTTTGGAAATTTATATTTATTAAATAGAAGTTTTTTAAAAACATAAAAAACTATTGAGGATTATAAATTTGTTATATGCAGAATAATATGCAAACACAACAATTTATGGCTGGTCAGTAGAAGTTATGCAGATATGTTCAAGTAAAGAAAATGAAAGGCATTCTTATTTATTTGAAGTTAAATATAGGGTTAAATATAGTGTTAAAATAAGGTTAATTTTAAGTTAAATATAGGGTTAATGAATACTATTTGTAATAAGCATCAACTTCGAGAAAAGCAAAGTCCCATTCAGTTTATAGCAATGTATTTTAAAGGTATAAAACAAAGAAGTTGTCACTGCTATGTAGTAAAAACACGTTTTTTTAGCTCCTTGGTTTTTGTGAGTTTTTTGATTAGTTTATATATATATATCAAGTAGAATTTAGAAAAACACAAAGGAGCTTCATACATGTGAATTATATAGAACTTTTTTAAAAAAGAGCAAAATATCTTAGGTTACATGTGTTTTTCTTTTTTGAAAATATGTTAGTGATATGATGCTTTCTTATTCCTGGTTACGGATTGAAGTCTCTCATCTCTGCTCTTGGGATTTGTAGCAATAGAAGTCCTAAATCAAAATCAATCAAAAGAGCAAACAAGTACAACAGCAGAAGTAATTTCTTGATTACTTACCCGAGAGAGAAATCTGACTTTAACGTCGTCATATAGGATTGGACAGTTCAACAATTCAATAATGACTTTGTCAGTTTCGACATCGTGAAATATCTGTGAATGAACACATGAAATTCAGAGCTAAAAATCTAGCTGCTGATGGGATCTGTAAAACTGAAGTGGTTTTCACTCATTCAGCCTTTCTGTATTTATCAAGTACTCTTAGCCTCATAGCAAACTCACTATATATATTAATAAATAGAACCTGTCGGGGCTGGCGCTGTGGTGTAGTGGGTAAAGCTGCAGGCCACAGTGCCGGCATCCCGTATGGATGCTGGTTTGAGTCCCGGTTTTCCACTTCTGACCCAATTCTCTGTGAAGGCCTGGGAAAGCAGTGGAGGATGGGCCCAGTTCTTGGACTCCTGCACCTTCGTAGGAGACCCAGAGGAAGCTCTTGGCTCCTGGCTTCAGATTGGCGCAGCTCTGGCTGTTGCAGCCATCTGGAGAGTGAATCAGCGGATGGAAGACTCTTTCTCTCCCTGCCTCTCCTCTCTGTGTGTAACTCTGACTTTCAAATAAATAAATAAATCTTTAAAAAAGTAATATAAACTCTCTTTTCTGTAAAGTTGCAGTCTATAAATTTCTGTAACATTGTTTCAAAATTATATTGGGACACTTATTTATTATTTATTTATTTTTTTATTTAGTAAATATAAAATTTCCAAAGTACAGTTAATGGATTACAATGGCTTCCCCTCCCCATAATTTCCCTCCCACTCACACCCCTCCCATCTCCCACTCCCTCTCCCATTCCATTCACATCAAGATTCATTTTCAATTATCTTTATATACAGAAGATCAATTTAGTATATATTAAAAAGATTTCATCAGTTTGCACCCACACAGAAACACAAAGTGCAAAATACTGTTTGAGTACTAGTTATAGCATTACTTCACATTGGACAACACACTAAGGACAGATCCCACATGAGAGTAAGTACACAGTGACTCCTGTTGTTGACTTAACAATTTGACACTCTTGTTTATGGTGTCAGTAATCTCCCTAGGCTCTTGTCATGAGTTGCCTAGGCTATGGAAGCCTTTTGAGTTCGCTGACTTCGATCTTATTCCCACAGGGTCATAGTCAAAGTGGAAGTTCTCTCCTCCCTTCAGAGAAAGGTACCTCCTTCTTTGATGGAGCCCAGTTCTTTCTACTGGGATCTCACTTGCAGAGATCTGTCATTTAAGTCTTCTTCTTTTTTTTTTTTTTCCCCAGGGTGTTGGCTTTCCATGCCTAAAATACTCTCATGGGCTCTTCAGCCATATCCGAACGCCTTAAGGGCTGATTCTGAGGCCAGAGTGCTATTTAGGACATCTGCCATTCTATGAGTCTGCTGTGTATCCCGCTTCCCATGATGGATTGTTCTCTCCCTTTTTGATTCTATCAGTTAGTATTAGCAGACGCTAGTCTTGTTTATGTGATCCCTTTGACTCTTAGACCTATCAGTGTGATCAATTGTGAACTGAAATTGATCACCTGGACTAGTGAGATGGCATTGGTACATGCCACCTTGATGGGATTGTATTGGGATCCCCTGGCACAGTTCTAACTCCACCATTTGGGGCAAGTCCGATTGAGCATGATATTGGGACACATTTGAAAAGCAAAGTGTTTGATTTATTTTCAATTAAGTTTAGTCACGTAAACATTACTGTTTAATGTGTTATGGTTTTCATAAGTTGGACCACTTTTGATAATACACTCAAATCTTTAGTTTTAAAGTTGACACTGCCATTCAAGAAGCATACAGAATGCTTAATCCAAAATCATGTGTTTTTGTGATGGATCATTGGTAAGCTCCATTGCAGGCCTTTAAATGAAGTGATTAACGATAAACTTTCCAGGAGAAACATTTGGAATTATACTAAATATTCTTTGTTACAGATTTATTTTTATACAATAATGGTATAGAAAATAGAAAGACTTACGCTGGGCCCTGTGAAAAGCAAATAGATATAGACTCAGTCCGTCGGGTCCCTTCAGGGAGCTGGGCATGTAAAGAATAATATATAACTAATGTCAGGCTACATGGTGAAGACTGAGTGTGCTGTTATGAACTGCAGGGGGTGGTATTATTAGGCAACATAGAGTAGAGACTCTTCAAGGAGATAGCTACTGAGTTGAGTATGGAAGGGTTTGAATAAATAAAAGAGAGCACTGAAAATAAATCTAGTGCATACATTGGGGACAGAGGAGAGGAAAAGACAAGCAACACAAGAATAGAAATTAAATTATATTCCAAGAACCTGCGAGGATGACCCGGTTTACAAGGAAAAATCTCTGCAGCTTAAGTTCTGATGGAAATAGCTCAGGTTGGTATGGTTATTGTATCTTGAGAGTTCAAGATCCATGGAAATAAGAGTGAGTTGCTAGAGAGTATTGGGGAGGGGGTATTTTATGTGTCAAAGTATCCTGACTACGTCATGAATTAACATCTACTTGGTAATTTATAGTTGACAATTTTTATTTTATTACTACTTAATTCCTACAACACTTGAGATGTCATCTTTATTTTTCAGAAAGAATGCTGACCCAAAGATGCTAACTGCTTTAACTGTGCATAAACTGTGTGTCTTCTGACGTACATACAGCTCTTCACAATGGAGCAATACTTCAAGATGCATGTTGTAGATTCTACCCACTACAATGTGTAAGAAAAGACAAGGTACGACCATTGTTTAGAAACTTTGTCAGAGCACGAGCAAATGGAAAAGTGCAGTGAAACATAAAGGAAGGAGATGAAGAAATTTCAAAGGAATATCAGAGGAATTGGTGACTCATTGGATTTATGTGGAGAAGGCAAAGTGAGAATCAAAGATATACCACGTGTGAAGACCTGAGTGAAATGATGGTGCCATCTGCAGTAGCCGAGGAAAAGCTCCATTTGGCAAGTTTGGATTTGACTAACTTTGGATTGTTGGGGTAACGACTGTCCATTATTGTAATTTCTACATGTAGCAACAGTGAGTGCTCATTATATATGTTCCACGGCTTAAAGAACAAATAATATGTAAAGAAGGGGAATGGCTGAGAGTAACCAAGAATGGTAGTTACAGAAATGAAACACAAATGTCAAGGATCAGGCCAGTGAATGCCCTCAGCTAGGAGAGGCAAAACAAAACAAACAAAACAAAACAAAACAAAACAAAAAAAAACCAACACAGTGGGGACAGGACAGGGGATTAGTGTCAGGAATAGAAGCCATGGGAGGGTCTTCTGAATGTTTACGTTCCTAGACTCATGAAAGAAGCTTTATTATGTTTCCACAAAAGTCTTTATATAGTTAGGCATCACTTCAACATTTTAGCAGATCATTGTCTACTAGGGTCCCATTGCTTTGGGTAAAGAGACTCCTCTTTCATCCATATGCTTACATAGTTTCTCATAACGCTAACTCACAGGACTGTTGGTTACAGTCATCTGGAGCATTGCTATATCTACAGATAGCTGAGACCCATTCCAGATTTCCTGAATCATACCTTGGAGGCACAGATAATGAATTTGCATCTTTACATTCCCCTAGGAGATTTTCTTGTATGCTACAATTTGAAATTTTAGTGTTGGACAGTAAAAGGTAAAATGACCAGAGGAAAAAAATGGCTAAAAATAACTACAATCTGAATTAAAATCTTGATAGATTCCTGGTAACATGCTCAGCATTGTGGGAACCTAAAAGGCAAAAGCCACAATTTACAATGTATAATTTTAGAAAATACCCTGGGAACACCCTCCCCCTTTTTTTTTTTCAAACAATTTGGTTAAGTTAGCTCTGGTTTGCATCCATACTTACGGTTTCCCTCTTTGGATGGTACTACAAGCAACATAACATCTTCTTTTGTGGTGATGATGGTTCAGGGGCCAACATGCTGATATAACTTTGAGCTTTAAAAAAACTTCAGAATTTTCAATTCATATGCTTTCTCTTACCTTGCAGTTTTTAGAAGATGAACATGAAAAGACTGTCTGTTGTTTTGTATGTTATTTGAATTTTTAGGTCACTTCCATCGCCTTTTCCAACATCTGTATAAAATTAAAAAGATATGGCACACACTGATGGAAAACAATAAAATATTCTAGCTGGTTCAAAGTACCACACACAAGCATATAGTAAATGATGCAATGAACCTACGACTAGATGCAAATGGGCTAGTAGCCAATTGCATTCCACTGAACATATCCAGTTTGCATTTCTATGTAGAAAAGTTGTTTGCATTATCACTTTTCTACAACTTGCAGAGTAAAGAGCTCAAAGACAATGAAAGCTGGAAAGTGTGCAGTCACAGACATTACCCATCTAAGAGCCTCTCACACTTTTTCTTCTCAGTCTCCCTAGCTCCTTTCTCTTGTTGTCACAACCATTTGAAAGATTATTTTTATTCAAAAATCATACTGATCCCAGTAAGTTTGGCCCGCTTATTTACACGGGTGCAGGACGAATTTTAACTTGTCCAACAGTCCTTCCTGAGTTGGTTTACAAGCTAAGACATGTGGAAAGCTGAACACCCAGGATCTTGGATCTCAGATTGTCTTTTATTTGTTTGTTGAAAGGCAGAGTTAGAGAGAGACAAAGATCTTCCATCTACTGCTTCACTCCACAAATGGTCACAACATCCATGGGTGGGCCACACTGAAGCCAGGAGCCTGGAACTCCATCTGAGTCTCCCTTGTAGGTACCAGGGGCCCAAGCAGTCAGGCCATCCTCTGCTGCTCTCAGGTGCACCCACAGGGATCTGGATTTGGAACAGCACTTAAGTGGAATGATAAAACTGTAGGCAGTGGTTTAGCCTTCTATGCCGCAATGCTGGCCCCTGAGATTGAGGTTTTCCAATCCTCTATTTCATGTTAGTCTGAGATAAGCAAATCATGCCATAAAATTCCACACAACTTCACCTACAATAACTTGAAGTTGTGAATTTGAGCAACTCCCTATTTTTTCCAGATCTGCACCTTACAGTTGTAAGCATTGTCTCTACAGGGTGTTTTTTTTTTTTAAAGATTTATTTTATTTATTTGAAAGACAGTTAGAGAGGTAGAGACAGAGAGACACCCGCTGGTTCACTCCCAGGATGGCCGCAACGGCCAGAGCTGTGCCAATAGGAAGCCAGGAGCTTCTTGCAGGTCTCTCACGTGGGTGCAAGGGTCCAAGAACTTGGGCCATCTTCTACTGCTTTCCTAGGCCATAGCAGAAAGCTGGATCAGGAGGAGCATCTAGGACTAGAAACAGTGTCCATATGGGATGCTGGCACTTCAGGCCAGGGCTTTTAACCCACTGTGTCGTAGCACTGGCCCCTTCTACAAGGTTTAAATAAAACCCAAAGTGATATTAAGAAAGAAGACATAATCTTAGGATATAATATCCGACTGACACAAAAATTCCCAAATTTTTAAATGATTTTTAGGCTTTGAATTTTGAGAAACTATTTTATCTCATTGTTCCTATGAGAGAAAGGTGTTAAAACTTCATTAGGCTGAAATGCCCGTGACTTCCCTGAAATGGTTTAAAACTCACAAAGATTTCTTTAGATGCCCTAGTACTAGTAAAGCTCATCTGTATATATCCACAAGCAAATCTTCCCAAAGAATGGGAACATTGTTGCTTCTGCCCAGTTTTTCAGTTATACAAAAACACTTACTATGAATTGAATAAATGATAATTTTGTATGGCGTGAGGATTTTTTTGGCGGGAGAGTCCAGTTGCAGAGATTTTTCACATTCTCAAAATATCCAACATATCTACTCTGCAAAGAAACAAAAGCTTCAGGTTACATGAGGAAGAAAAGCTGAAAATCAGAAATTCCTATTGTGAGGGCAGGGCATAGAGCTTGGTAAGGGCAGTAAGAAATTAAGAAATCACTTGCTGGATTTTGTTATAAGACAGAGTGTTTTTATGTATGTGGCCTCAAAACTACCTTAGGAAACAATACTGAACTAAGTGCTTTGGGAGGAAACCAGAAAGGAATCAGGTCTGGCTTATAGGGTGCTTATAATTATGATTGTGTTTTAGACTACACCATTATCCATGTGTGGATAGAAGCAAGGATGTGACTGAGTTACGGGAAGCTTTGTGATTGGGTGAAGAATAGCCTATGATAATGGAAGAATGGTATTTGCAAACTCAGGAGGAGACCAACATCTCTCAGGTAGATTCTTGGTCATTTTTACCTTGCCTCTGCCAGCTAGAGTTTCTTTAATTATCATTTTCTCAGTTCTGTTGTTGCAAAGAAGTTCTGGAATTTTCTTGGTTTCATTCTTTCTGTGATAAACTTATTCACAAGGTCTGTCCTTGAGTCTTTCTTAAGGAAGTTGAACAGTTCTGGCACTGAACCAACAGGACTCAGAAGTTCACAGATTCTTCTTTCCCCATTGGGAAGTTTAATAAAATTAAGTGTTGTACTTTCTATGAGAAAGGGCAGCCATGAGATAGTCTCATGCAAGTTCTTAACTCAGGGATAGATGTAATGTGACCAGGAGACTGGCTCACTGGGAGGGTCAGAATGTGATGGTGTCTGGAGAATCATCACTTGACATAAAGGAACCTCTGCCCCAGGGCCTTGCCAAATCTGAAGTCTGCAGCTGAGTTCTTCTATTGCTATCCCAGTGAATCAGAAGACATTCAGGTGTAGCATATGGTGTGCTAGTTCTGGACTAAAGTCAGGATAACTGTGCAGGACTAAAGGAGAAATGGAGAAAGGGAGATGTATGGGGAGAGTCAGTGAAGGAGCTGCATTTCACATACCCTTGGCTCCTGCCACCAGATTCATAGCATGAAGATACACAGTGCTGACAAGCTGGGAAATAGCAAAGGGTCTTATTGTCTTAGAGCACAGGATATGTGACAGCACTTAATGAAGAAAAAATTTGAAAAATCAAATTGAAGAGGATTTTTTTTAACAGGCAGAGTGGACAGTGAGAGAGAGACAGAGAGAAAGGTCTTCCTTTTGCCGTTGGTTCACCCTCCAATGGCCGCCGCGGCTGGTGCGCTGCGGCCGGCACACCACGCTGATCCAATGGCAGGAGCCAGGTGCTTCTCCTGGTCTCCCATGGGGTGCAGGGCCCAAGGACTTGGGCCATCCTCCACTGCACTCCCAGGCCATAGCAGAGGGCTGGCTTGGAAGAGGGGCAACCGGGACAGAATCCGGCACCCTGACTGGGACTAGAACCCGATGTGCCGGCGCCGCAAGGCAGAGGATTAGCCTAGTGAGCCGCAGCACCGGCCGCAGAAGATCTTGAGAGCTAGGTTAGAACATATAGTTGCCATTGGCAGCAGGGAGCCATCATGGATTTTGAGCATGGAAATGGCGTGATAAAAGATGGACTTCAGTAGGTTGATGTATTACTTTTATCCAAGGGTGTATGTATATCTTGTTTTTTGTTTTCTTTGGCTTAGGTATGGGAGAAAAGTATTGGTGAGTAAAGGCTGAATTCTTTTGTCCTAACCAAAGATCTAGGGTGAGAAGTTACTGTGTGCTGCTTTCAAAGCCCAGTGTAGTTATTCAGTTGCCATCACTTCACTCAAAGAAAGTCTCTCATTTATAGCTACATTCACATCTCCCTAAGAGTCTCAATCAGCTCTCACTTTGGTTTTAGGGGGACAATAAATAGAAGCTGTTCACAGCATGGACTATACTGGGCTTCAGATTTGACAGATCTAGATTTGAGTTCTTGGTTCTAGTGGTTAATTTCTCTGAACTTCAATTTCATAATCTGTAAAATGGGATTCATAACAGTGCCTATTGAATTAGGTAATGAATATAAAACCCTTAGCATGTATCAATAAAGTCTAGACTGTTGTAAACTCTATCAGATAAATGTTTTGATTTCTGCAATAAACAAATCACAAGGAATAAAAATGATGGGAAACAGAAACAGAAAGAGACCTAAGAGAGGTAGCATCCAAATGATATGTATGGGCCTTGTTTGTATTGTAACTGAAACAAAGTTTTCTAAGTATCTTAGACAATTATGAAAATTTAAAAATAAACTCAAAATTTGAAATTATTAAGATTTTATAAGGCATACAGCATTTGATGTGATAAATGGTATTAAGATTTTTGGGTTCTCTTGAGACCTTATGTTAGATGTCATACCAAAATACTTGTGGGATAAAATGATCTCATGGGTGTAATTTCCTTCAGAATAACCCAGGTTTGGTAAAAGAGTGGAATAGGGTTGAGGAATTTGGATAGAGAGGGGAGAGAATGAATAAACCATGATTGGTTAGTTATGAGATAAAGTGGCATGTTGAGTAAAAATGGATTTGTTGTATAATTGTCTTTTTTGCATATGTTTGAAAATTTCCATAATCTTTTTAAAAGGAAAAAATTCAGCAATCTCCACATAAATATTATAAATCCTAAATGAAATAGTTTTAAGTTTAGAAGCATTTGGGGTATATTAGAGGTTTTGAAAAGTGTTTATTTTCCTTTTTCTTTTTTTTTTAAATTGACAGAGTTACAGACAGTGTGAGAGAAAAAGGTCTTCCTTCCATTGGTTCACTCCCCAAATGGCCTGCTATGGCCGACGCTGCGCTGATCTGAAGCAGGAGCCAGGTGCTTCTTCCTGGTTTCCCATGGGTGTGCAGGAGCCCAAACACTTGGCCCATCCTCCACTGCCCTCCTTGGCCATAGCAGAGAGCTGGATTGGAAGAGGAGCAACTGGGACTAGAACCCAGTGCCCATATGGGATGCCGGCACTATAGGCGGAGGATTAACCAAGCGAGCCATGTTGCCGGCCTCTATTTTCTTTTTTCTTTAAACATCAAATATAGACATTCCTTCTCCCTCCCCAACCACTCTCCACAGGAAATCATCTAGAAATAGTTCTCATGATTCTCTGAGAGGGCAACATTGCTGCAGGAGGGGTTTGTGAAAGACTCAGTTCCTCTTCTATGGGGAATCAAAGGCAACTGATAAGCATTAGGGGCCTGGAATCTTAGGTATTAGACTTGCCTATTACAGGAAGTAATCAACTGCTGAACTCTGTACACAACAACAAATATCAAATGCTCTAGGGAGGACCCACTGCTCCTCAAGCATGGGCAGCGACTGAGGTATAGGTTTTGGTCCTGAGGAGAGTTTAAAGCCTGCTGCAGGGCACCAAGGGCCACTGCCTGATATCCAACAGAGAAGAGTCTAAAGTGAAACCATGTGTCGGGCTAATCTTAACCCACTCCCCCCAAAGAAGTGCCCCTTTAAAAAGAAACTTACTTGGGAGGGAGTTTCAATTCCTTGGAATTTACTACTGATGGTGTGATCAGTACGTCGACTTGCAAAATAAGCAAGACTTTCCTATAGAAAAGGAGCAACATAACAATGGTTCATCTGCAATCTTCCCTTTCCCATAGTAGATGTGTTTTAAGTTTCTAAGGACACATTATTTCCTTAAGGGGGAGCATTCTGTGAAGAGAGGCTACTCAAAATAACCAGTATAAAAAGGCTACATCAAAGATATGTCTCATTCAAAGATTCCTGCCTACATGGACTTTCAGAACTAGAATGCCCTTAGAAACCTATTTGGTCCAACTCTTCTTTCTACCTTCCAATATACAAATGAGAAGACTGAGATGAAAAGAAAATGAAATTGTAACCCACATTAATAAACCCATGATATACACACAGACTTGGGCATACACACACACCCATCAACATTGATATTTCTAATCTCCATTTTAGAAGTGAAACACTACTCAGTAAGTTGCTTTTAACACTCACTGAAACATAATGATGTATGACTTAAAGAAACACCTATTTTCCAAACTTGTGTATCTTAGATTATAAGACAGAAGTGGCTAGAGAGCTGTTTTTTTTTTTTCCTTTTTTTTAAATTTAGTAAATATAAATTTCCAAGTACGGTTTATGGATTACATTGGCTTTCTCCCCCATAATTTCCCTCCCACTCGCACTCCTCCCATCTCCTGGAGAGCTGACTGTTGTGCATAACCCTCAGCTCCTCTTCTCTCTACTGCAGGCCAGCAGACCAGAGCTGCTGGAAGTAGGGACTTAAGTGGCAGCTTTCCCAAAAATATGGCAGCAAAATGAACCCTGCTTTAAGACATGGGAACAACTCACCTTCTCTTCTCAGCAATTTCAGATTACAGTTATTATGTATATTGACTTTGCAAAAATAGTAATTAACCATGAGAGACTCTGAGTGGGAAAGCAAGGCCTTTTATGTATATACAGCAATTTTAAGGATAGCCAAGGTCCTCTGCAAAATGCATCTAATTAATCTGAATATTATTCTCATGAGGAAGCCTGCAACGCTTTGCATTTGTATAACTTGGCTTTACTGACCTCACTTAATCCTGCTCCTATGGGTCCCACTTGTATTTAAAAGATTAATAGTGTATACATCATGATTTTTTTGCATTCGTTTTTATTTTTAAAATATTGATTTAACATTATTTATTGCTAACTACTGAGATTTTTATATTCCCTTAATTTTATGCCTCACACATTTACCCTAGTCCTTGTCCAGGGTAAGAAGTAGTCATTTACTAATTTCATAGTGGAATATGAAACAAAGGAGGAGCCAACCAATACTTTTTAATGACCCACTCTCCAGTTACAGTTTCACTTAACCATTGGGACTCAGAGAGTCACCATAACATCCTAGCAGTGATAGTTCAGAATTGGCGATTTCAGTAAGCACAAGACAGATTGTAGTAACATGTTTCATACCTTTGCAGTACCAAAGATCTGATTACCAATGAGGCAAGCACAGACCATTGTCCCAGTTCTTCCTAGAAAAGAAAAGTTAGTTTAAGAAGCTAGTTCATGGTAGAACTTAGTATGAAAATACACTCAGAAGTATCCAGAGTGTGTTTTTGATTGACTTTTTTTACACCCTGAATGTGCTTGTCACAAATAGTTTAGTAATAGCCAAGATATTTCGCTGTTTTATGGTTGTATCTGGAATTTGGTTTCTGTAATGGACATGATACACTTGTGCACATGTGTACTTGTCTTGAATCACAGATGCTGGGAAACACACTGGAGGCAGGCAGTTCTGCCTAGGACTCCAAGCCTAAAGCCTCACTTGCTAATTAGGAACTAATTCTACACTCTATGATCCATATAACATAATAAAGTATCTATAAAGTTAAAAAATAGCGGTCAGAGTTGTGGCACAGCAGGTTAAGCTAGTCCATTTCAGATCCAGCTCCTTGCTAATGAGTCTGGGGATTTAGCAGATGACCAAAGTACTTGGGCCCCTGCCACCCATGGGGGAGACCCAGAAGGGTTCCAGGCTCCCAGTTCAGCCATCCCCAGTCCTGGTCATTGTGGCCATTTGGAGAGTGAACCACTTGATAGAAGATCTCTCTGCCTCTCCCTCTCTATTTCTGTGCCACTGCCTTTCAAATAAATTAACATTCTTTTAGAAAAGAATAAACCAGGATCACAACTCAAAATGGCTTTTAGCATTTGCAATACTCATTGTTTCTTCCATAGAGTATTTAATTGTAGTACAAAAGTTTTTAAACATATGAAAGCCTACAGAACAGGATAGTGAAACCCTCGTGTACTTTTCCTGATTTTGTAGTTACTGATATTTGCTGAACTTGGTTACTTTCCCTCTCCTCTTTCCTCGCTTCTCTCCTACCCCTCCCCTCTCCTCTATCCTCTATCCTTTCTTCTTCTGTGCCATCTCCTTTCTTTTCCACTGTTACATTTTAAAGCAAATCCTTGACCTTATGCTTCATGTCATTTATCCTCAAAATTTCTCGAGTTTTATTTGAATTTCTATTTTTCATCTGCCATACAAAATTTAACTTTAAAAGATGTTGTTTCCTGGGGGCCACCGTCCAGGGGCGCAGGTAGCCACTGCGCTGGCGGGGGCACCTGGCGTCTGGGGCTGTGATGCGCTCTCCTGAGGACTGGCGACCGGGCCAGCTTCCTGGGTGCTGCCATGGAGGAGTTGTAGTCAGTTCTCAGCCTGGAGCCTCCCCTGAGTCAGGAGACACTTTCAGACCTATGGAAACTGCTTTCTGAGTACAACCTGCTGACCACCTTGCTGAAACCCTCCCTTGGATGATCTGCTGTCCACTAAAGATGTTGCCAACTGGCTCAACGAAGACCCAGATGAAGGGCTCTGAGTACCAGCAGCTCCTGCACCAGAGGCCCCCACCCCAGCTGCCCCTGGCTGGCGACCCCTGCACCAGCCACCTGCTGGCCCCTGTCATCCTCTGTCCCTTCCCAAAAGGACCTACCACGGCAACTCCAGTTTCCGGCTGGGCTTCCTGCACTCTGGACGGCCAAGTCTGTCACCTGCACGTACTCCCCCTGCCTCAACAAGCTCTTCTAGCAGCTAGCAAACACCTGACCTGTGCAGCTGTGGGTTCGACTCAACACCCCTGCCTGGCACCCAGTGCGGGCCATGGCCATCTTCAAGAAGTCTCAACACATGAAGGAAGTTGTCAGACACTGCCCCCACCACGAGTGCTGTTCCGATAGTGATGATCTGGCCCCTCTCTCAGCATCTCATCCGGGTGGAGGGAAATCTGTGTGCTGAGTATTTGGATGACAGAAACACCTTCCGACACAGTGTGGTGGTGCCCTATGAGCCACCCGACGTTGGCCCTGACTGTACCACCATCCACTATAATTACATGTGTAACAGCTCCTGCTGGGGGGCATGAACCGGTGGCCCATCCTCACCCTCATCACACTGGAAGATTCCAGGGGGAAACCTGCTAGGATGGAACAGCTTTGAGGTGCGAGTGTGGTGCCTGTCCTGGGAGGGACCACGGCACAGAGGAAGAAAATTTCCTCAAGAAAGGGGAGTCCTGCCCTGAGCTGCCCCCCGGGAGCTCTAAGCAAGCACTGCCAACCACCACCACCGACTCCTCTCTCCCAAGAAAAAGAAGCCACTTGATAGAGAATATTGCCATCATTAAGATCCGTGGGCGTGAATGCTTCAGGTGTTCCAAGAGCTGAATGAGGTCCTGGAGCTCAAGGATGCCAAGGCCAAGAAGGAGCCCTGGGGGAGCAGGGCTCACTCCAGCTGCCCAAAGGCCAAGAAGGGGCAGTCTACCTCCTGCAGTAAAAAACTAATGTTCAAGAGAGAGGGGCCCAACTCAGACTGAGGTCTCACCTTCTGACCACGTTGACGACCCCCATGCCCTCCTACCTTGACATTTTGGGACTCAGGTGCTTGAACCCTACTTGGTAGAGGTATGCCTCAGAACTCCCAGGAATTCTTCCACTTGCCTTGGCCTGCACTGGTGGTATTGGGGGGAGGAAGGGAGGGGTAGTGGGAGCTAGGATGGGCCAACCTTAGCTTTTAGAATTTTGACTGTGAGGAATGTTTGGGGGGAAAAATGCTCTGAGAAGCAGCCCTAGGCTGGGTGGGAAGCCCAGCCCTCCTGCTGTGCTGAGCATGGATGTGGCCACAACTTCATGAAATGCTGATCATGCCTACCTCACAGGGTTCTACTGTGAGGATTAATGAAATGCTGTGTGGCTGTCCTGGAAAGCACCCTTTATTATAGGGTGGCTGGGATGTGGCACCCTCATGGGAGCTGGTTCCCTGCCCTCCTGCTGGCTGGGTTGACAGCTTCACTGGTTGGGCACCTGGTCTACGCTGGTGCAGCCAAATCCTGCCCAGCCTCTTAGTGACAATGGCACCTGAAAGAAGTCCTGCCCTAACCTACGCCTGGAGGATTCCATCTCATGTACCATCTGCATCTACTAAGACCTTTTTCACTTTCCCACAATGCTCAGGGTCAATTTCTTTTGCACCTTGCAAGGCACATCTGCATTTGTCACCGCCAGTCCTCTTCCCTTTTTATATCCCCTTTTTATATCGGTTTCTTATTTTACAATAAAACGTGAGTACCATCCTGTGTCTCAAAAAAAAAATAAAAATGTTTGCTTAATCACTGTAGCTTTTTACTTAGTACACACTGAACCTAATTACTTAATGTAATTCCAAACTATTTTTACCTGAGATGCACAGAATTTTCTATCATTTTAAAAATGTTTAATGAACCGCTAAATTGCTTTCTCAGTCTGTCATTGCAAACACTATTCTAAGCCAGGTACTTCCAAAGAGGAGTTTTTCCACCTTTTGCATGAAGTTTTCCTGAAAAGGAGGCTACTGATCAACAGCTTGGTTGGCTCCTGACTCCAGCTTCCTCCTAATACAGACTTTTGGAGGCAGTGGTGATGGCTCAAGTAATTTGATTTCCTGCCATCCACATTGAGAGACCAGCACTGTATTCCTGGCTCCTGGCTCCTGGCTCCTGGCTCCTACTGGGGCTGATGTTCTGAGTATTTGGGGAATGAACCAGCAGATGGGAGTGCCAGTGCTCTCTTTGTCTCTCCCCTCTAATATAATACTAAAAAAAGAGCTACCAACAATAATCTAATAATTGGTACTTTGAAAAGATTGATAAAATTGAAAAATCCCTGGTGAAACTAATCAAGAAAATAGAGACAAGGCATCAAGAAAGCTACATAGGGAATAAAAAGGGGAGCACACTCTAGATATTAGATAGTAAGATTATATGTTGAACAATTTGATGCCAAGACATTTGAAATTGTATATAAAATGGACAAATGCTTGGGAATATACAACTAACTAAAATAGATACAAGAAATAGTTTTAAACAATCCTATATCTAACAAAATCTGATTTACAACTTGAAAACATCCACAGAGAAAACTGTAGGTTGATGTGGGTTCACTAGGGAGTCCTAGCTTACATTTAAGGTAAAGAAAAAAAAATAATAACCAAGTTAAACAGACTTGGAGAATAAAAAAGAAAGGAAATGCAGCCTAGCTCATTTGTGAAGCCAACAGTTGAAATTAACATTATGAGGGAAACTAAAAAAAGAATATCCAATCATACCATGCCCGGATACAAGAACTGTAAACCAAACTATCAACAGAATCTAGCAGCTTTCTATTAAGAAGGTAATATAAGTACCACGTGCTAACCGAATGCATCACTCCCACCATGATGCCATCTAACATGCTGTGATGCAACCAAGCAGCTTTACCAGGGCCCAAACACATGGGGTTGCCTGATCCTGGACTTTCAGCCTTCAAATTTGTGGTCTAAATAACCACTTTTATTATAAAGTACCCAGCCTTCGGTATTTTTGCTACCACAACAGAAAATGGACTACAAAAACCACTGTGAATATAAAGTATAAAATATTATTGAAGGGCCAAATGAATTCAAATAAATAGATAACCTAGTTGTCAGTTCTCCCAAATTAATAAATTCAGTTCCTTTCCAATGAAAATCCTAAACATATTGTGAAAACGGACAAAATTATTCTAAAATTGAATGTAAGAATCAAGTTGTAAGAAGAACCAAAGGGTCAGGGAAAAGATGGCAGCTTAGAAACAGGAAAATCTGGGCCGGCACCGTGGCTCAACAGGCTAATCCTCCACCTAGCAGCGCCGGCACACTGGGTTCTAGTCCCAGTCGGGGCGCCGGATTCTGTTCCGGTTGCCCCTCCTCCAGGCCAGCTCTCTGCTGTGGACTGGGAGTGCAGTGGAGGATGGCCCAAGTGCTTGTGTCCTGCACCCCATGGGAGACCAGGAAAAGCACCTGGCTCCTGCCTTTGGATCAGCATGGTGCGCTGGCCGCGGCGGCCATTGGAGGGTGAACCAATGGCAAAAGGATGACCTTTCTCTCTGTCTCTCTCTCTCATTGTCCACTCTGCCTGTCAAAAAAAAGAAAAAAAAAATAAACAGGAATATCCAAGTCACATGGGGGCAAAATAGGTAGTTAAAAGGGAGAGAGGTTACATGCAGGAGATAGAACTGCGGGAAATTTACACCGGGAAACCCAGTTGGCCAACACAGACTGGGCAGGTACATGCTGAAAGGGAAAATAAGAAGGAGAAACAGAGGAGACGCAGCATGCACAGGTTGTCGGGGTGGAGGGTGCCAGTCCCCAGTGGATCAGGTTAGGTGGAATTAGGTGTCCTTGGAGCTGGGAGTAGCAGCAGGAGGAGGAGATAGGTGAACTGCTTTTGAAGTTCCAAGAGGGGAAAAAAAGAGAAGGTATAAAAAAAGCAAACAGATTGGTACTATGCTGTCCGACCCCTTTTCCCCCTGCCCATCCAGACCTGCAGCTGGCCCACAGAAGCCATCTTTAATGTTTACATTCTCGAACATAGACCTTGGCCTACCAGACACACAAACATCAACTGTGGGAGCCATCCCACGACACCTCCCACACAGGAGCGATGTCCACACTATCTCAGAGGAGACTCTTCCCCACCATGCAAGTCAGGCAACAAGGAAACTCGAGCCCATGAAATCCATCATTGAGAACTCATCTGGGTCTCAGAAGGTGGGGCTAAGTGCACCACAGCTCACACCCAACTCCACCATGATTTACAGGTGAACAGGGCTCCAGTAGATAGTGCTCTGTGCTTCCACTTGAAACGCACACAGAGCAGCACATAACAGAAATCTCACAAGAGAAATTCTGTAAGTTTATAAATATTTGTGTGTAATATATATTTATACACACATATGCTGAAAACAAAGCTAAAACCTGAAATAAGAATAAGGAAGACAATATGAGTCCCCCAAAGGAACATTACAACTCTTCACTAATAGAAGCTGCAGATGAAGGTGAGTGAGGATATGTCAGTTCCTGAAAGGTGAGATAAGGCTGAGAGGGATTAGAAATTAATAGAGAATAAAATAACATGCAGTAGATGGTGTTAGAACAATGGACTATATGTATAGAAAAAGAAATACATCCATTTCAATTTTTAAAATTCCAATATTAAGGGGCTGGTGCTGTGGTACAGCAGGTAAAGTCACTGCCTGCTGCTGTTGGCATACCATACGGGTTAGAGTCCCAGCTACTGTACTTTAATCCAACTCCCTACTAATGAGCCTGGGCCCCTGCATCCATGTGGGAAACCCAGAAGCAGCCCTGCCTCCTGCCTTTGGATCTGCCCAGCTATGGCCATTGCAGCTAAATGGGGAGTAAACCAATGGGTAGAAGGCCCTCCCCATCTCTCCTGTCTGTAACTCTGCCTCTCAAATAAATAAATCTTTAAAAAAATTCTAAATTTTAAACCTTACTCATATTGTTTGATAGTAAGATGAATCTGTTTTATACTTTAATATACATTTTGAATTTCTTTAGAAAAAAAGAAAAAATGCTATTACCTTTGCCGCCTTTGCAGTGAATCACTACTACGTTCTTCTTGTCTTGAGCCAGCCACATATTTACTTCTTTGGAGAATACCACCATCTCGCTGATTTTAAAAGTTAGACTTTTAGTTGAATTAAAGTATTTCCAAAACAATAAAGCCCAGTGTATCTGGCCCTCTTCTCATAGCCAGTGTTGCATAAAAGTTACCTGAGAGTAGGGACATTATGATCATCAATCATGATTCTTTGGACTCTGTTATGAAAATGTTCAGGATTATAAGCTCTTTCACCTAAAATAAATCATACAGATGTCATATTTTCATAACTAATAACATAATAAATGATGAGTTATGAACATGTTAAAGTTTTCTATTGAAATTCCTTATCAAAAGGAGTTTTCTGGCCGGCGCCGCGGCTCACTAGGCTAATCCTCCGCCTAGCGGCGCCGGCACACCGGGTTCTAGTCCCGGTTGGGGCGCCGGATTCTGTCCCGGTTGCCCCTCTTCCAGGCCAGCTCTCTGCTGTGGTCAGGGAGTGCAGTGGAGGATGGCCCAGGTGCTTGGGCCCTGCACCCCATGGGAGACCAGGAAAAGCACCTGGCTCCTGGCTCCTGCCATCGGATCAGCGCGGTGCGCCGGCCGCAGCGCGCCGGCCGCGGTGGCCATTGGAGGGTGAACCAACGGCAAAGGAAGACCTTTCTCTCTGTCTCTCTCTCTCACTGTCCACTCTGCCTGTCAAAAAAATAAAAAAAAATAAAAAAAAAACAAACAAAAAAAAAAAAAAAAACAAAAGGAGTTTTCTGAGTGGCTCTAGCTGCTCTAAAAAAACTTGAGGGCCTCAAAAACATAAAAAAATTAGTGACTTATTCTATGGATAAGTTACTGATCCAACTGACTTTTGAATAGCCTTTACTTTAACTTTTTAGCAGATAATTCATTATACTATTGTAAGATAGTTGAAAACAATGGGGCAAAGGCAGTGTAACTGGCCAAAATTCTTTCCCTTGCAAAATGTCCATTTAATAAACAAATAGAGGAAAAACTCAGGAGAGACAAGAGTGGTAACTTAAGGATATCATTTGTTAATATTCTTTAAAGGTTTAGTTTCTTTTTTTAAAATTTTAGTCTACTCTGTAATCACAGGGGTAATTCACCACTAACCATAGTATGCAACAAGTAAAAAGAAGACAACAGTTCCACAGGAGTATAAACAAGGACTAAAAATGACAATCCTCCCCACTCCCACTTAGTACACTGCTGTCATCACAACTCACTCCTAGTGGATAGAGAATTCCTTTTTTTGGTCTGTGTCCTCAATGCAGTGTTCCAGGGAAAATAGAAAGTTTTCTTAACCCTAAAACCACTGGAGTAGACCAAACCTCCACTTCTGCCTCTTGGGTTCTAACAGGCTTGTCTCTGTTGAAGGGCACCCACTGAGCTCAATCTTCCTATTAAATGTACCTGAGCAAGATCAGTATTTTTGAACTCACTCTCCTCACTGCCACCAAATGCTTATGATTAAATGACAAGTAGAAATGAAATTGTCTTCTTACATTCATAATTGTTTTCTATCTATAGTAGCAAAATATCAAGTCATGTACATACTGCATAGATTGTAGACTCGGTAATGGTTTCGATGTTTGGTATCCAGGAACCTCACAACTTCCTAAAAGAGACAGACACATATCTTACTATCCAGCATAACCTAGGAATGACCCAGGAGTTAGTTATATAAACATGATGGCTGTTACTTTTTGGCTCTCACTCATGCTTCTAGAAGAGATTCATAGAATATGAAGGTACATGTAGTCCAAGTCATGTCTAACCCATGGATGGCTTTCATACAGTTAACCAGTGTGCTTGGCTACTCAAATTATTCTCTACTCCAAGTAAGCATTGTTTACTGCCACTAGAGGAGGAAACTGGCTGGTTAGCTAGCTTTATTTTATTTATTGTCCAAATTCTTAATTCCCAGTTAACATATAGTTCTTATTTAAATTAATTCTGAATAGATATCATTTCGATAATGAACTGATTATTATGGTCTAAGCATTATATAAATAAATAAAAGGCAAAGTATATAGTATTACTCTGTATATGCATAAAATGATAGATTTTATCAAATTTTAGAAAAGTCATAGCTATATGAAGACATTTTGGTTCATTTCTTTTAAAAACTAATATAGGTCTGTGTGTATATATAATTTTAAAAATACTGGCTATTACTTAAAATACAGCAAAAACTATCTGATATAATCCATTATGATGTTTTACGTTAGAGAATAAGATTTCAGAGGAAGACTGACAAACCTGGGTCAACAGTAAACTATGACTCCACATCTGTGTTCACTGAAAATTGAGTATTTATTAGATAAAAACTCTTACCTTAATTGGATTCCTGTAGAAAGACTGCTTTCCAGAAGATGGAAATGACATGGCGATAATGCGATCTAAAAAATCACGATAATCACTATTATGAATGTGATTATAGATGTGGAACAATATATGAAAATAATTTAAGTATGTTTAGACTTTTGTTACAGAAAAGAACTTTCAAGGGGTTGGCATAGTGGTATATTGGGTTAAGCCGCTTCCTGTGAGGCAGACATCCCAGATGGGTGTCAGTTTGAATCCCAACTGTTCATCCAGCTCCCTACTAACATGCCTGGGAAAGCAGCAGAAGATAACTCAAGTACTTGAGTTTTTGCCACCTATGTGGGAGACCCAGATGAAGCTCCTGGCTCCTGGCTCCTGGCTCCTGTCTTGGGCCTGGCTCAGCCCTCACCAGTACAGCCATTTGGGGAGTGAACCAGTGAATGGCAAATATTTCTCTGTCTCTTTCTCTCTCTCTCTTTTTTCTTTCTCTCTGTTCCCCTCTCCCTGTCACTGTAACTCTGCCTTTCAAATACAATAAAGGAAACTTTGAAAAAAACTTTAAAGGTTGAGGTTGACAGAAAAAAGCTATCCCAGACACAGGATAACCAAGAGAATATACTAAATTACCCAGTGTAATGACCAGTTAAATGTCATGGTGTCCTAAGACTCAGTTGATTCTAGTAATATGCCAGAGTTGTGTTGAGCTCATTCTGGAGCACCTCGTTAAGCACCAAAGGAAAACTGAGAGGTCTGGGTTCTGGTGATTGTGGGAACTTCCAGGGTTTCAACACTCCTGACTCAGAAGACTTTTAAGACCTGCAATGCAGTGGCCTCCATCTCTGGTATTCTAAGAAGAGAAGAGGACTCTCTGGATCTGTAAGACCCAAGAGAACTATCTGAACTCAATAAATTCTCAAGAAACTGAAAATCATTCAACTTTCTCTAGAGCAGTCAAGTATCCCTGATTTGGTATGATGTGGAGAGCTTCCATTGTGAGAGTTAAACTACAGATATGTCATACCATCTCACTGGTATATGTCTTTGTGGGGGGAAAAATGGAAGAATATGGCTTAGAAAAAGCAAAAGCAAAATAAAAATTTGCACACAAGAAAAGTAGGACAATGTAAGTAAATCAATAGCTAAGCTTAACAAACCAGTTATGTAAGTGAGATCTAGGTCAAATCCATCTCTCCTGTATCGCCTTTTGTTTTCTGAAACCTGAGAGTTCAAAACAATAATTAACTTGTCAAACACAAATCAACTTAGAAGTGAAGAACATTATATAGGTATCTACATCCCTTGCCATTATGTCCCAAAACACAAGTTTTGCCCACTCACCAGTCTTCTGGTCAGCTTTTGGAGTTGTCTGTTTTGGTAAGCCAGATGGAAAACTCTTACCAAAATTATAAGGCGTAGAGGTCGAAGCAGAACGGCCACCCTAACAAACATTTAAAAGATACATTTTTTGTTTTAGAAACAAGATTTTATCCGGATAGACAAAGTTTGGAGCAGTGGTTCTTAACCAGGGGCACTTATGCCACCTGCCCCTGGCCATCCTGGCATGATCTGGAGACATTTGGGATTGTCACAGCTGCTGGTATGGGGTGCTACTCACATCTAGTAGATAAATGCCAAGATTGCTGCCAAATACCATACAATAAATAAAATTTCCCCCTTCCCCCTAACAAAGAATTATCCAACTTAAACTGCCCATAATAATAAAGTTGAGAAATTCATCCTAGAAAAGTGATAATAAGTTCTTAGAATTTGTTTATTCAACATTTACAGTTGAAGAAATTTTCAAGTTTTCCCCAGCAAAACAAGCTTATTATTCAACAGTTATTCCCATCAGTAACATAGGTTCACTACCACTGCGAATGAACATCAAACATACAACAAATTGACACCCTTCCCAAGTGGGCTATCCGGGAACTAATATTCCGGACTAATACTTTTCTAACTTGGGCACACATAAATGCATCACCTGAAAGAGCTTGTTTAAAGATAGCTTGTTTGGGTCCCAGAGATACAGATTTAGTAGGTATGGAATTGGGACCAAGGTATTTTTCTCCTAGCTGCTCAGGTTTCTTATTGAAGACCACATTGGCTTATGCTATTTTCTTTTTTTTAAATTTTATTTGAGCTGTACAATTTTCATGTATTTCATATACAGATTTAAGAACATAGTGGTCCTGCCCACCCCCACCTGTGGCTCATGTTATTTTCAAACAACTCCAAAGCCTAACACATAACACAGTTAATTGGGTCTGAATTGAAGCCAAGGGAAGCTGGAATACAGAAGAAAGTCAGCTATTTGACTAATGGATAAGCCTGGTGAGCTCCCACCCACTATATGTACATCCCAAATCATATTTGCTTCTGTTCCTCATTGCTCCAGTAGAAAAAATTAATTGCCTAATCCTGAACAGTTTTAACTTTGCCTCAGCTTTCCTAATTTCTACAATAACTATACTGCAAAACTACCTCTGCATTGCTATCCACAACACTTACTATTTTTCTGTTTTGTTTGCTGTTCTTTGAGACTCATGATTAAAGTTATTTGAATTTTGCCTATGCTAAAATGAAAGGTTGAAGTGCATGGAAATTTATCTAAGATTTCTTTTTTAAGTAGCTTATTTGGTACAGAATCAGAATATTCCAAGTTGAAAAGACTATGTGGAATAATTACCACAGAAAATAGAAAAAGGAAAAGAAAAAACTGAGAGATATATCATATGTTTCATACCTTGGTACATCTTTCAGAAATCTTAGGTCAAAAAAGAAGTAAATGGTATCGATCAAGAGAGTTATTGCAATAATGACAGCATCTAAGATGTTAAATAGATCAGTAAAATATGTCTTCCTCCTGCAATATAAAAAAAGTTTGTCCCTCACAAGATAGGAATATTTTAAAAGTACATATTATTTGACTCATTGCCATTAAACATTCTCCTTTCAATAATTATTTAAGATGAAATTTCTAGATTCAACTTTGATAAAAATGAAATGTGAATGGAAATTTTACATATAGGAAATTTATATTCATTAATAGATTCATATGTATAACTAAAGCTTTACTATGGCAGTTTCAGTGTAGTAAGAGATAGAGGAGAACCACAGAATAAGAGGTAAGCATTGATTTCATGTGGGTGACAGAAGAAATGTGGGATATTGGGCAGTACTATTGGGAAATGGAAGTTGAATATGTCACACTATTAGAGCACCTGGAGCCGTGAGGAGTTATAACAGAGAAGCTTATGAGATGAAGAAGCATCCACTATTTAGACCTGCAAACTCACATTCTGGCTCTGAACCCACACTGGAATACCAGCAGGCTTCTGTAGCCTCCTTTAGGCAAAGATGAACTCCATTCACCACAGCTTCCTCCTCAAAGTGGCTCCTTCAGACATGGGCATTTGTTCTCCAGGAAATGCTCTTTCTGAGTCAAGGAGGCCCCTTTCAGGGTCTGAGAAACCTGATTTTGGGCAACTCTGCTTAGTTCAATGGCATGAGGATGGGGAGTCAACAGAGGAGACAAGCTGCCTTCTGAGACCTCTAGATGAAAGGAGGCTGGAGAACTTAGTTCTTGACTCCCCTATTGGTCATGTCCAAGTCTTGGCTCATACCACACACCTTCTCAGAAAGCTGGCAGAGAAAAAGTGACCACTGCTTCACTACCAAGGCCCTCTAATGGGATGAGCATGCTTCATGTCTCCTCTTCACCTCACTAAAATTTGCATTCTTTTTTTTTTATAGATTATTTATTTGAAGGGCAGAGAGTTACAGAGAGAAAGAGAAGGGGAAAGAGCGAGTGAGAGAGATCTTCTGTCTGCTGATTCACTCTCCTAAATTGCCCAAACAGCTAGGGCTCTGCCAGGCCAGAGCCAGGAGCTTCCTCCAGGTCTCCCACATGGGTGCAGTGGCCTAGGGACTTGGGTCATCTTCCACTGCTGTCCCAGGTGCATTAGCAGAGGACTGGACTGGAAGTAGAGCAGCCAGGATTCTAACCAGTTGCCATATGGGATGTCGGCACTGCAGGTGGCAGCTAAACCCACTGTACCACAGTGCCAGCTCCAAAATTTTCATCCTGAGATAAGACACAGGGTGATTTATGATTTATTGTCTAGTACTTAGTATACTGTTAAATGTCATTTATGATTCAGTTATTTTTTAAATATTTTTTCGAATGGCAGAGTGACAAAGACACATAGAAAGAGACAGAGACAGAAAGAGAGAGACAGAATGTTTCATCTTCTGGTTCACTCCCCAAGTGATAGCAATGGCTAAGAGTGGGCCAGGCCAAAGGCAGTAGCCGAGAACTCCATCTAAGTCTTTCATGTGGTGGCAGGACCAAATACTTGGGCCATCTTCCACTGCTTTCAGAGAAGTATTATCAGAGAGCTGGATCAGAAGTGGAACAGCTGGGACTCAAACTGTTTCTCTGACATGGGAGGCTGGCATTGCAAAGTGGCAGCCTAGCTCACTGAGTCAGTGCCAGCACCATGAGTCAACTCTTAATAAAGGTACCAATATTTGTACTTCATATACATGTTCTTATTTCTGTGTAACTTTGCCTTTCAAATAAATCTTTTTTGGGAATCTGAATTTTTCTGTGGACTTCATTTACTTCCTTACATATTCTAGATATTAATTCTCTGTCAGATATATAGTTTACAAATCTTTCTCCCATCTCTTCACTATGATGATTGTTTCTTTGACCATGCAGAAGCTTTTTTGATTAATAAAATTCCATTTATTTATTTTTGCTTTTGTTGATTGTACTTTTGTGGTCTTATCCAAAAACCCATTGCCTATATTGATGCCTTCAAGTGTTTTTCCTATGATTTCTTCTAGGTGTTTCACAGTATCAGGCCTTATATTTAGATTGATCTGTATTGAGTTGATATTTGTATAGGGTGAGAAGTAGGGAAGGGTGATACTTTAATCTTTTGTCTATGGATATTCAGCTTTCCCAGCATCATGTATAGAGGAGATTGTCATTTTTCCATGGTATATTTTTGGTGACTTAGTTGAGAATCAGTTGGTTATAGATGTGTGGATTTAATTTTGGGATCCCTGTTCTGTTTCATTGCTCTATGTATCCTTATGCCAATACCATGATATTTTGGTTACTATCATTTAATATTATGCTTGTGATGCTTTAAGTTTTGTTCTTTTTGTTCAAGATTACTTTGGTTATTTGGAGTCTTTTGTGCTTTTATGTGAATTTTAGGATTTTTTCTAGTTATGTAAACAATGGCATTGGGTATTTTGATGGCGATTATACCAAATCTGTAAATTTCACTGAATAATGTGGATATTTTAACGATCTTAACTCTTGCAACCCACAAATATGGGACCTCATTCTGTTTGTACGTGTGTGTGTGCTTCAATTTCTTTTATCAGTGTTTTATAATTGTCATTGTAGAGGTGTTTCTCATCCTTGGTTAAATTTACTCCATGATGCTTTCTTTAAAAAATTGATATGCATGATTGTTTTTATGATTTCCTTCTCAGCAAGTTCATTATTGGTATATAACAAGACTGCCAGTGGATCAGGCATTGTGGTGCAGCAGTTAAGGAACTGCTTGGGACACCCACATCCCATATTGGACTGCCTGGTTTGAATCCCAGCTTCTGTTGCAGCTTCCTAATGTGCCTGGGAAGGCAGCAGATGATAGCTCAAATACTTAGGCCCCTATCACCCATGTGGAAGACAAAGATGAAGTTCCTGGATTCTGTCTTCAGCCTGGCCTAGTCCTGGCCTAGACATGGCCATTGGGGGAGTGAACCAGCAGGTAGAAGATCTTTGTCTCTGTCTCTGCCTTTTGCTCTCTTTCTGGTAGTATGCTTTTTAAATAAAGAAATCCTTTTAAATGTTACTGATTTTTCCAGGTTGATTTAGTGTCCTCCAACTTTACTGAATTTGTTTATTATTTTTGACATTCTTTTGGTGGGGTCTTTAGATGAATTATATCATCTACCAATATGTATAATTTGACTTCCCCTTCCTATATGCCTTTTAGTTTTTTCTCTTGCCTAATGAATCTTGCCAAAACTTTCAGTATTGTTCTGAATAAAAGTACTGAGAGAGGACAGCCTTGTGTAATTCCAGATCTTAGAAGAACTGCTTTCAGCTTTTCTCCAATCGGTGCAATGTTGGCTATCAGTTTTTCACCTGTAGCCTTTATTATTGAGGTACATTCCTCATATACCTCATTTGTTCAGAGTTTTTATTATGAACTGATGTTGAATTTTACTGAATGCTCTTTCTGTATCTATCAAGATGATCAGGATTTTATCCATTACCTTGATGTGGTATATCATGTTAATTGATTGACGTTGCCATCATCCTTGCATCCCTGGGATAAATCCTACTTGATCATGGTGAATGATCCTTTTGATGTGCTGCTGAAATCAACTTGTTCATATTTTGTTGAGAATTTTTGTTATCTATATTCAACACATGTTCTCCTTGTTAATGTGCATGTGGACACATCAGCTGCTGGTTCTATTTTGCATCCTCTTTATCTATTCAAAGAAGCTTCTACAATATTCCGTTGGAGACTATATACTATTAACATCCAATTGGCGAAAAACTGGGATTTGAATTGCTGTTTCTCTATGGACTTTGCGTGCCAGAAGAAAGATTTTGATAAAGAGGTACACATTTGGTTGGACTGACCAACCAATTATTTTGGGATGTGTTTCATGATAACATAAATTACTTTATGTGTTGGGGCTGGCACTGTGGCGCAGTGGGCTAATGCCCTGGCCTGAAGCACTGGCAACCCATATGGGCATTGGTTCGAGACCCAGATGCTCCACTTCCTATCCAGCTCTCGGCTATGGCCTAGGAAAGCAGTAGAAGATGGCCCAAGTCGTTGGGCCCCTGCATCTGCATGGGAGACCTGGAGGAAGGTCCCAGCACCTGGGTTTGGATCAGCACATCTCCGGCCGTTGTGGCCAACTGGGGAGTTAAACATTGGATGGAAGACCCCCCCACTCTGCATCTCCTCTCTCTGTGTAACTCTGACTTCCAAATAAATAAATAAAAATACTTTTTAAAATTTACTTTGTTGTTGTTTCTAGGCAGTTTTGGCTAAGATCATGTGTAAAAAAATTACTTTGTGTGCTAAGAAAAAAAGGAATCAAACTTACCCCTCAACATACACTCTGAGTAGAACATCAAAGAAAAAAAAGAATGCAATAGCCAAAGAAATTGAATGGCATTCGAAAACTATTTTGTTATCATTGAAAATTACATCTGACATGATGAGAAATATGTCCACAAAGATGAGCAGGATTCCAAATACTCTATAAAGAACAAAATGTAAATAATGATAATACAGATAAAGAGATTTTTGTCCTATAGTTGGGCTATGTTTAGTTCAATAATCAGATATCAGTATGTGAGTATTTAGGCTTAAACCATCAAGTAAAGGGAAGAACTATGTGGCCTCAGAATCTCAAAAAATTACTCAGTTTTCACACAATCAAAGCATTAGCTGGTGAATAAAATTCTCAGCAGCCCATTTTACAGCATGTTATCTTGTCTTCTTATAGTATGCATATCATACTGACTCCTCAAGACACAGCAGGAAAACAAAATTAGAATTGTATGTCTCTTTTAGTAAATTATTCTTCTAATTTAAGAATTTCTAAGGAATTTCTATAAATTTCTCATAAAGTTGAAACCTCATTAATCTGAAGAATACTTAATAAAAACCAAGTGAGGGCATACTCAACATCAAGGCCTTAAAAGACCACTTTGACTAGTAAGATTTTTTTTATCAGTGAGTTTTTCAACAAGTATATGATTACAAATTCATGGGTGCTTCTGGCCCAGTAATTCTCACATAAGACAGAATTCAATTCTATCAGTATTTTGAATGCTGTACTCTAAAGTGCCTCCTAAACCTTTCTCTTAAACTTCTAAACACATTCCCTATAAACTGATTATATTATATAGCCTGTGAAGATTAACTAATCATCAGAGTACTTAATAATTCCAACTCAAATGAAAATATTAATTTAAAAGGAAAGAATTATTTATATTCCATAAATTTATATGAAATCTTCTTTTATATACTTTTTGTTCAGAGTTTATGTACATTTTTGTATATTAGAGGAACTAAGTATATGTACTAAGTTCCTCTTATGTACAGAAAAGAAACTAAGTAAAATGTTTCCAAAATTAAGAATTAATTCTCATTCTGTATTGTATTTACTAAAATGCCTTACAATATTTATAATGTGTGCTTCGTTATTTTCACTTATACAGGTAGAAAAAACATTAATATATTACTGTTAGACTTAGCAGATGCTATTTCTTTGCAAGTCCTGATGTCCAGCTTAAGCCAGAATTCCAAAACAAATGAGATTACATGAAAGGGAAGCACAGAGTATATATATATACTATGTATATATATATATATGTATATATATGTGTGTGTGTATGTTTGAAATATTTCTATTTTGTTTTCATATAATTTCCCATTTTAATAATGATATTAAATATTCATATTTAAATACATTCTTTTTAAAAGTATCACCTGAATGCAAAGGCTGATACAATTAAACGAGTAGTGTTCTTCATCTTGCTGCTGCAAAAAGGAGGAAATATACAATCAATCACAGGTTTCCTTTAAAATACATTAAGGTTTTAATTCAGAATGGCCCTTAAATCATAATTTTACAAGAAAAAATTTCAGAAGTTGTGAAACAAAGTGCTTTTTTGGCTAATAAATAAAATTTGTTTAGCTTTCTGCAACATGAGGTTTCGTGTGTGAATAAAACACTAAGCTTTGGATATTTAGTAATATTTCCCTTAGGTGTAAAGCCATGACTCTAAATGGTAATATTGAACATAAGGACATAAACTAATGCACATGGTATGGACAAGAGAGTGGTAAGGTAGAACTGTATTCTCACACCAACTCTTCCATTAATGAGCTAGGGTGTTGTGGGCAGGTCACCAGATTTGCACTAAGCCTCAGGTTCCACAGTAGTAAGAGATTTCAGGGTTGGGCAACAGGAATAAATGGTATTCTTATCCTATAATGTTCATTTGTTGCATCTAGATTCCCATGAACAAAAAATCATTAATGAGAGCTACAGTTGGTGTTGCAAATGTACTTTGGAGGTAAGGAAGTTAGGCACATATTTCCAAGGAAAAAACATCCTAAAGACTGAGTGCCTTCCATTCATCACAGGAGGGAAAACCTGGTTTCTGTAGGCTCCAGTGATGCTCCATTTTACCAGATGGCTGCAGACAAGGTAACTAATGGGGACCAATTTCCTACCCTGCTGAAACCTCCAATGCAAGACCCAAATTCCATCCCATATGGAATGAATCCCAACACAGCTCTGATAGCCTATGCCCAAAACTGGAGAATGGAGAGAACAGATACTGAGCAGAGAACTTGGGACACGGATGAATGTTGTTAGGTTAACCTGAGATATAAGAAATCTTCAATACTTTTATTATCTCCCTCATCCACCTGCACCCACCCACTTTCCACCCAGACTAAGGAGCTAAGACTTAGGTAGATGGGCAACTGATTGATTAAAAAAGTAAAATTTACCTTGAGGTAGGCATCCTCTTACTACAAGCCCTTTCTGACTCCTGCAGTACACTGGATCTCCAGGAAGCAAAGAATTGTTACAACCCTGAAATTGCTTAAGAGTGGGGCCATAGAGAACCATGCTTGACAGAAACATGGAGGCACAAAGGAGTAGCTAGGAATGACACTAGCCTCTCTATTCTTTTTCTGCATCTTTTCAAAACTATCCAGAGTAAATATACAATTCAGACTATTTTGTTCTTATCAAAGTTTAAATGCAGCTTCAAACAGTGTTGGAGGCAATGCAAATTGGATCAATCATATGGAAAACATGAAGAATATTCCTCAGGAAACTAAAATAGATCTATGTGATCCTGACATCACACTCCTGGGAATATATGCAAGGCAAATTAAATCAGTATATGAAAGATGTAGCCGCACATCATATATATAGCGGCTCAATAATTGACAATAATAAAAACATGGAAGCAACCTAGATGACCATCAAATGGTGACAGGTAGTGAAAATGTGGTATAACTATTTTAATAAAATGTTTAGAAAAACAAAATGTGGCATGTACGCCCAATGGAATATTTCACAGCCACAACGAAGAATGCAATCCTGACCTTTGCAACAAAATGCATCGAACTGGAGATCATTAGACTATGTAAAATAAAGCAGACCATGGGGCCGGCATTGTGGCACAGAGGGTTAAAGCCCTAGCCTGAAGCTGTGGCATCCCATGTGGGCGCTGGTTCTAGTCCCGGCTGCTCCTCTTCCAATCCAGCTCTGTTATGGCCTGGGAAAGCAGTACAAGATGGCCCAAGACCTTGGGCCCATGCACCTATGTGGGAGACCCGGAAGAAGCTCCTGGCTTCTGGCTTCAGATCAGCACAGCTCTGGCCTTTGTGGCCATCTGGGGAGTGAACCAGTGGATGGAAGACCAACCTCTCTGTCTCTACCTCTCTCTGTAACTCTGTCTTTCAAATAAATAAAATGAATCTTTAAAAAAAGTAAAGCAGACAATGAAAAACAAATATCACATGTTTTACTTGCAGAAGTTAATATTATGGGAGAGTATAAAAATTGCATGGCTGGCATATCATTTGGCCATTACAATTACAATTACATTACAATTACAATTATAAATAATTGTTTCACTGATTCATACCATATACATGACAATATGTCCTTTTTTCACATTATGATTATGATCATGAGTCCTCACTTTCTCATATTAATCTGTTTTCAAGAAAAAATAGTAGAGGCTGGGCTGTGGCACAGCAGGTTAAAGCCCCGGCCTGCAGCTCCAGCATCCCATATGGGGACCAGTTCAAGTCCTGGCTACTTGACTTCCAATCAAGTTCACTGCCAATGTGCCTGGGAAAGCATCTGAATATGGCCCAAGTACTTGTGCCCCTGTATCCGTGTGGAAGACCCTGAGGAAGCTCCAGGCTCCTAGCTTAAGATCAGCTCGGCACTGGCAGATGTGACCATTTGGGGAGTAAACCAGTGAATGGAAGTCTTCTCTCTCTCTCTCTCTCTCTCTCTCTCTCTCTCTCTCTGTAACTCTTTCAAATAAATAAAACAATTTAAAAGAACAAATAATATATATGTATATAATCTCCACATATGAAGTGAATGTGGCAAAATACTAAAAATTATTAAATTTTCAAGCTGAAAAATAATAAACATAAAAGCTACCTACAGATAAAAGGAGACTTTAGAAAAATATGTCAAAGACATGCTGTATTGTCACTGATGCTGCTGACAATGAAATTATCAAATCTCCATCTCTCTGGGTATACATGTGTATGAGTGTGTGTCTATTTATATGTGTATTGGTTTACATAATCAAATATATATTTGTTTATATAGAGCTCACGTTTCATCGACGTCTTCATCAACAGATATTACTGTTGACTGACTTAATGGAGTGCTGAAGGATTAAAAATATGTATATCAGATACAACATAATTTCCTAGATTTTATCTTGGTTCAATTAGTTACAATTACTCATTAACTTAGAAACTGGTTGACTTTTAAAAAAATCAATTTAAAAAGTAAACCATAGATATGTCAAAAAGTAAAATTCACCCTGAGTTTGCAGATACCTATTTCTCTTGCCCCATCCAATTTCATGACTCTCAAGTACATTCACCATCTCAATCTCCATGAATCACATTGTCTCTATAGCCTCTCAGGTAAGGTCAAGCAGACCTGAGGTGGCAGCTCCATTTTTTGTGGGTAGGCACCAGCCTCACATGGTGGCACAGCTCTGGAGAGTGAAGGATACATCCAGGATGCATTAGCTTTATTCTTTTCTGCTGAGGGCACCTCAACTGCTGTCATTGCCACTTCCTTGGTCCATCCCGATGGCTTTCTCTGCAGTGTTGGCCTGCTCTAATAGTGTCATACAGACATTCTGATACTTTCCTAAAGGTTTGGCTGCTACAAACTCAGGGTGAAGTAAGCAGTAAGTAACAAGAGAAGTAAGTGAAGTAAACAGTAAGAGTAAGAAGAATCCTTTTTCAAACTATGCTTCTTCTTTCTATGATGATTCAAAACAAAGAGTATTACATACCGAAGCTTCCCATGAAAGGACCATTAGGAATGGCATGGAAGGAACTAAGTATTCTCATGGGTGCTCCTGACAGTGACTATCCCAAATTCCACCCCCCACCCCACACACCACAAATCATTTATGTCTTATTACCTTACACTGATGCGTTCACTTGGGGATGTTTTCAAGTCTGACTGGGCAGTACTAGAGGATTAAAAAGGTACATAGTAAGACCCCATGCAACTTGCTAAACTTGCTGCTTTACTTCAAAACGGTTTCAATAACTCTTCAGCTTACAAACTGGTTGACCCTTAAATACTTCATATACAAATCAGTTGTTTTGAATAGAATATGCCATGTTCCTTAAAAATGATTATTTCTATCATTGTGGTAAGTACTTTAGTCCTGTCAAAAATGTAATGGTTCAGTATTAAAGTGCAGTTTCTTATCACTGAATGTGACGCGATGTGTAAAAACCTTTTCTGATGGGATTTATTTGAAATTCAACTTTAGGATGCTTATTGCACCTAAAGCCCTGCTTCCTAAGACCCTCCTTCACTCCTTTAATTCATCAAGGTGATCTTGCTTCCCTTTAGACAGGGTCTAGTAGCTGGTAGCATGAGTCAGGGTTCCCTCCAATATGCTGTTATTTTTAGCTTCAGGGTACCTGCCTTACTAGGTAGCAGAGAACTGGAGGATACAGGAAACATCCAGGTTCCATTACCTCCTCCCCTTTCTGCTGAATTTATCTGATTTATCTGTTCCTTGTCCACTGCTTCCTCCCTCTTGCTCTAAATATGTCTCTCCTCTTTCCACCCAATCCAATAAGGTCTCATACAGAGGATTCTGAAGATATTCTGAGAGTTTGGCTAGTGATTGCCCAGGGTATAAATAACACAAGGAAGAGGAAACATTGATCTTGTAACATTTTTCTCTCTTATCCAATACAAACCAAAAGAAAGGTACCTACATAGGCTACAGAGAGACTAGTTAGAAACAGTGTCAAAGATGCTGTATGCCATGTATGTTTCTGACTACGAACTTCCCAAATCTTCATCTCTCTGTTTAATATGTATATATGAATGCTTGAATATATGTATAAATGTATATATTTTATGTATATATCTTGATATATTTTTATTTATATATATATATAAATATATATATCTCACACTTCACTTGTAGCTCCATCAACATGTAGTGATCCATATTCATATATTGAAGTCCTGTTGGATTTAAAAACACATTAGTCAGATACCTTATAACTTTCTAGGTTTAAATTTTGGTCTTAAAAGTTTATATATCTTGTTTATCTTTTCAAAACACCAGCTTTTATTTTTGTTGATCTTTTGTATTTTCTTTAGTTTCCATATCATTGATTTCTTTTTTTCCACTTTGTTTATTTCTGCTCTGAATCTTAATATTTCTCACCTTTTTTATTTGAGATTTTGTTTATTCTTAAGTGCTTAAGATTCATCATTAGATTATTTATTTGATATCTGTCTTTTGTAATGTAAGCACTTAAGCAGTGGTGCCAGACAATGAGAAGGTAGACACCCTACGCTTGGCTCACTTTATTAAAATCTGATACACAAAACATTGAGTTTCCTAAGTGTTTTCCTGTTACTAATGGTGATAATACACCAACAGGAAGAAGCAACCCTCCATAATCTATTTTTCTTTTATCCAGTACAATATTTGAAAGAGAAATTTACCTACAGATGTTCCAGTGTGAAGGTCTTACTCTCTATTGTCATGGTTTCTCCTGACTGTGAATTTCATGAATATCAGTCTCCACCTTTCTGTGTATGTGTGTGAGTCCACAATCAATGGATGTGTGTATGTATATATGTATAAGTTATATATCTTATCCATCCTTTTATTTAAGGAATACAAGCTTCATACATATCATAATGAAACCTTCATGAACATCGTAATTCTTTTTTTTAACAGGCAGAGTGGACAGTGAGAGAGACAGAGAGAAAGGTCTTCCTTTGCCATTGGTTCACCCTCCAATGGCTGCTGCGGCTGGTGCGCTGCAGCCAGTGCACCACGCTGATCCAAAGGCAGGAGCCAGGTGCTTATCCTGGTCTTCCATGGGGTGCAGGGCCCAAGCACTTGGGCCATCCTCCACTGCACTCCTGGGCCACAGCAGGGAGCTGGCCTGGAAGAGGGGCAACCAGGACAGAATCCGGCGCCCCGACCAGGACTAGAACCCGGTATGCCAGCGCCACTAGGTGGAGGATTAGCCTATTGAGCCACAATGCTGGCTTGAACATCACAATTCTTCCCACTGTATCCACCTGCACACCTACTCTTCCACTGCTCTTCCTCCTCTCTCTCTTATTCAACTCTTATTTTTTACTAAGATCTATTTTCAATTAACTTTATACACATATGATTAACTATTAAGTAAAGAGTACAACAAATAGTTGAAAAAACTGTTCCTCATGTAATTATCTATTAATATAACTATGTATTCATTTATTTCTCACATTTCATTGATAACTCCACCAAAGGATGCTGCTGCATGTGAAGGAGAGCTATAGAATTTAAAAATACATGACTGATTGACATTTAGTTCACATCTAAATAACTTACTTGAAAGGTTGTTATCTGTTATCCATACAAATCAAGCTGTCTATGTTTTAATGAATATGTTCCTTCTGTGAAAAACTTTAATGACTCAGGATCTAAGCTAAAGGATTGGTGTTGTGGCATTGCTGGTTAAATCTCCACTTCTGACATCAGTATTCCAAATGGGTATTGGTTCAAGACCCTGCTGCTCCACTTTTGATCCAGCTTCCTGATAATGTACCTAGGAAAGCAGTGGCGATGGCCCAAGTACTTGGGCACTGCCTCCACAAGGGAGACCTGAGAGAAGATCCAGGCCCCTAGCTTCAGCCTGGTGCAGCTCTGGCTTTCTAGCCATTTGAGGAGTGAACTAGCAGATGGAAGATCTTTCCCTCCCTCTGTCCCTCCTGCTCTCTCTGTAACACTGCCTTTCAAATATATGAAAAATCTGAAAAAAAAAAGATTTAAACTTAGTCATTTACTGTTGAACCTACACACAATATGAAAGCACTTTCTGGTTTAATTTATTGCTAACTAAATTGCAGTTTCTAGGTACAAATACCTTTTACCCCATCTAATTTTCTTATTCTCATGTCTCTCCATCAACTCTCTATTTTCACCCATCTCTGTCCACCCTTCTGTATCTTCTTTATTCCTATTGCAGGAACTGTAGGCCTGAGGCAGAGGCTGTATCCAATGTGATGGAAGGTTTGGGTTTGAGGCAACAGCTTCACATAATGGCAGAATTCCCGAGGGTGAGGAACACAGACTGGGTCTCTTAGCTCCACTCTTCTGTGTTGAGTGCTCCCATTATCTCTTCCTTTTGCTATCTCCTCCTGGCTTCAGTGGGATTCTTTCCTCCCATGGCCCGGTAGAGACTCTAATAGAGTCTCATGCACAGGAAACCTAAGTTGTCAAAGCACTTGCTGTCTCCTAATTAAGGATGGCAAACACCAAGAGAAAGAAGCATCCTATGTGCTATTTCCTTTTATCAAAAATAATCTCAAAAACATGGTAATATACCTACAGATGCTATAGTGAGGTACTGTGTTTTAAGGTCTAGAAATAAGGCCATACATCTACAGCCGGAAGATTTTTGACAACATGAGCAGACCAGACATTAATGAAAGGACAGTCTCTCAAAAGATGATGCTGAGAAAACTGAATATGCACATGCAGAAGACTCAATCTTTCTCAATTTACAAAAATTAATTCAAAATTGATTGAAAATTTAAGTGTAAGACCTAAAACTATGAAACTATCAAAAGAAAACAGGAGAAACCTTTCTTGATATTTTGGACATGATGGAAAGCACAAGCAAGGAAAGCAAAAATAGACAAATGGGATTATGTTGAACTTAAAAAGCTTCTGCATAGCAAAGAAAACAATTAACAGAGTGAACAGATAATCTACAGAATGGTGGAAATATTTACAAACTCTACATCTGATAATGTTAATAATGTCCAGAATATATAAGAACTCAAACACCTCAAGAGCAAAAATGCCTAGCATTTAAGCCACTGGTTAGGATACTGTCATGCCATATCACAATGCCTGATTTCAAGTTACAGCTCTGTTCTAAATCCAGCTTGCTGATGCATACCCTAGGAGGCAGAAGGTGATGGCTTAAGTAATTGAGTCCCTGGTGCTCATGTGGGAAGACCAGATGAAGTTCCTGGCTCCCAGCTTCATGCTGGCTCAACCATGGTCATAACAGGCATTTGGGGAGTAGATCAGCAAATGCGGGATCTCTCTGACTGGTTGTGTTTCACTGCCTGACTTTCCTTTAAAAAAAAAACAAAGCAAATAATCTCATTTAAAAATATACAGAAGACCTGAATGAACATTTCACAAAACATGACATGAATGACAAACTGGTATTTTGAAAAGCATTCAGCATTACTAATCATTGGGGAAATTCAAATCAAGAAAACATTGAGATACCATATCACCCTGGCTGGAATGTTTATTATTCAAAAGGCGAAAGTTAACAGGTGCTGGCAAGGATGTGGAGAAAAGTGATCCCATAAACACTCTATGTGGGAATGTAAATCAATATAGCCATTATGAAAAGCATTTTGTAGGTTTCTGAAAACATTAAAAATAGAACTACCATAGGATCAGCAATCCCATGACTACTTTTATACTGAAGGAAATTGAAATCATTATGTTGAGATTTTCACATTCTTATGTTTATTGTAAGACAAGAGCCAAGATACAGAATCAAACTAAATATCTATCAATAGTGAATAAAGGAAATTTGGTGTATATGTACACAAAGGGCTGCTATTCAACAATTAAAAAGATAAATCTTGTCATTGTGACAACATTCATGGAACTGGAAAATATATTAAATGAAAAAGCCAGGCCAGAAAGACAAATACAGAATAACCTCATTAATACATAGAACCTAAAGAAGCCTAGTTCATAGAGGTAAAGTATAGAGTAATGGCTAGCAGTTGGGAATGGGGAAGAGGATTTCAGCAAGTTAAAAGTTAAAATCATGGGGGGCGGAGCCAAGATGGCAGAATAGTGAGGGCGTGCACCGATAGTCCGGGAAAATTTAGTTTAATAAAAGCAGAGTTACGGTAGCCTCAGAAAAAGGATCAGGAAAAAATTGCAGAGGAAACTCTTCCGGAGCTATTCGCTGTGACCCAAAGGACCTACTGGGAGAGCAGGGTCACCCACCACGCGGAAGCCGAACCGCAGGAGCCCCAGAGTCTGAGCGCCAGTGCGGGAAGGGGAGTCTATGTGACAAAGACACCAGCGGGGAGAGGAGGGACGCTAAGGGCTCCGAGTCCACACATCGGCACTGGAAGCGGAGGTGAGCTCAGTAACCAGAGACATTGGTGGGGAAACGGCAGACAGAATTTTAGAGGGACGCGGGTTTTGAAGCGGGAAAGTCCAACAGACTACAGGAGAGAAGGAAAAATAAATAAATAAATAAATAAATAAATAAATAAATAAATAAATAAAAGGTGGGGGCATACTGGTACAGACAAGTTCCACTCTCCACCAACCTTGCAAAGGTGAGCAAGAGACAAAGAGCTGGGATATACATAATAAAAGGGGAGAGTTAAGCCTACAATTCAGTAGCCTAGGCAACCCAGTGGGAGTCTGCAGTAGAAATGGAGCCTGCACAGACTCTTTGGATAGAAGCCAGCGGAACCTAAATACCATCCATTCTGCTCAGCCTTGCAGTATTACTTACCTCCTGAACAAAAAATAAAATAAAATAAAATAAAATAAAATAAAATAAAATAAAATAAAATAAATGAATAAATAGAGATTTACCACGCATAACCTGAGGGTGTCACCTTTGCACACCTGTAACCCTGAAGAACCAAGCAGAGCTCTCAGGCCACACCCATCTCAAGCCTCCAAGGCTCCTCCAACAGCAGGCAGTCCACGTAACACGGACATAGTATAAAAAAAAAAAAACCTCACAGTGAGGGAAACAGAATTAACCATGCGAAGCAATAAACATAGAAATCGAGGGAACAAGATGAACGATGACATTATGATGCCTCCAAATAAACAAAACACCCCAAGCCAAGATTATGAAGATGATGAGATAGAAGAAATGCAAGATACGGATTTCAAAAAATTTTTGATAAGCACATTTAGAAGTTTTCAAAAGCAAATCCTTAAT